AAAAACTACCGCAGATTAGGGGGAGCAACATACTACTACGACAAGTAAAAAAAAATAAAAGGTACAAAAGTTAAACTAACTTACTTTGTTTAGTTATTTCTCATCCAAAAGTTTTTAAAATTATTGAAACAGATGCCTCTGAACTTGGTTATGGTAGAATCCTAAAACAAAGATTTCAACCAACTGAAAAAGAAATATTAGTAAGATATACCTCTGAAATTTGGAACCCAGCACAACAAAATTACTCAACCATTAAAAAAGAAATTATTTCAATTGTCAAATGTGTTACAAAATTCGAAAGTGATATTCTAAACCAAGAATTTTTTATAAGAGTAGATTGCAAAGCTGCCAAAGATATTTTAGAAAAAGATGTTAAAAACATAGCATCCAAACAAATTTTTGCCAGAAAGCAAGCCATTCTTTCTTCATTTGATTTTACTATAGAATATATAAAGGGAAAATCTAGCTCCCTGCCTGACTTCTTAACCCGTGAGTTTTTGCAGGGATACTCGAAGGAAAATAGAAGTTAATACATGTTGCAGTAGTTATCAGAATACGCACAATAAGGAGGTAAATGAAAAAGCTAAAAGCCCAAATACGAAGCCTAGGACACCTTATATTGAAAAGGCGTTAATACCTATAATGGTTATTGAAAATAAGCATGCTCTAAAAGAGTCTAATCAAGTGGTTGATCTTTATCTTATCGATAATACGCATCTTGAAACAGGATACAAAACCCAAGAATATTATGAAAAAATATTGATCGAAACAGAGTCAATAAAAATTTTTCATTATAATAGGAATAGCAAAATTATTGGCTATTCAAAATTTCAAATCTTAAAGATCATCACATATGAAGAATGGGGCTTTGATCCCCTGAAACATAAACATCTTTCAGGAACCCTAAAAATAAGGCCTTACAATTATTATGACTACATAAAAGCTTGGGATGTAGTCTTGTTATTTCAAAATCCTCAAAGGACTATAGTTTGCTTTTACAATTCCAACTAAGCACTAAAATAAGTGCATTTCCACAATGGTTTAAAAGATGGATGTTGTACTGTGGACCTACTCCAGACATCTATCCAGAGAACCCAAAAGAAATCATATGAGCTCTTTCAGGCCTCTAATAGAGGAATAAATCAAGTAGACATATGTATGCATTTTACAACACTATTTGAAATTCCTTGAATTCTGAGACGAGATTATATAATAACTCCTAATAATAATGGATGAGATTATCTCCCTTATTTAGAAAGGAGGGTTATGATAAAATGGTGGGATTCATTCGAAGATACTTATCTTCACCCACAAAATATAAAACTTGAAAAGCTTATACAAGCTAATCTTGAAACTCCAAATCCTAATAGGATTGATGAATATTTCAAGCTCTTAAAAGAGCATAATCCTAATTTGTCAAATAAAGAACTTAAAAAACAATTATTATCAGCTCTAAATGAAGAAGAGTCAGTTGATATGCCCTTGACGTCCTCAAAAGATAAGGAGGAAGACCATGCTGAAGAAAATGAAGATGACTCCTATGGAGTTCTTACTCCTATCAGACGATAAGGCAAGAACAAAAGGCTGGCCCGACTCCGAGGCCCATCAATTGACGAAAGCACTTACGCTATCAACTCAATTATTATCCAACAAAGAACACTTTAGCTACAGGAAGGGAATCTCCACTGTAGCAACTTTTCCAGTAGCTATTTACCCTTTGTCGGCCACCTATCTGTTGCCGACACTGTAGCTACTTACCCTTTGGCGGCCACTTGTCTATTGTCAACATCTTTATGTCTCATCTTTCATGAGAAACCACGTGACGACCCAGTTGGAAGCATCTTTTTTGACCTCAAATAAAAATTTGAAGTCCGTCATCCCTCTATATAAAGGGAAGAAAGCCTCTATATAAGAAATTTGAGGTTCGAAAAGATGCTTCCAGCTGGGTCGTCACGTGGCTTCTTATGGGAGATGAGATATAAAGATGTCGACAGTAGACAGGTGGCCGACAAAGGGTAAGTGGCTACAGTGGAGATTCTCTCCCTGTAGCTAAAGTGTTCTTTGTCGGGCAATAATTGAGCTGATGGCATAAGTGCTTTCGTCAATTGATGGGCCTCTTGTCTTGGATTATGTTGGAGTTGGGCCGGCTCTTTGATCTTTGCCTTATCGTCTGATAGGAGTAACGACTCCATAGGAGTCATCTTCATTTTCTTCATCATGATCTTCCTCCTTATCTTTTGAGGTGGTCAAGGACATATCATCTTGCTCTTCTTCATTTAGAACTGATAATAATTGTTTTTTAAGTTCTTTATTTGACAAATTAGGATTATGCTCTTTTAAGAGCTTGAAATATTCATCAATCCTATTAGGATTTGGAGTTTCAAGATTAGCTTGTATAAGCTTTTCAAGTTTTATATTTTGTGGGTGAAGATAAGTATCTTTGAATGAATCCCACCATTTTATCATAACCCTCCTTTCTAAATAAGGGAGATAATCTCATTCATTATTATTAGAAGTTATTATATAATCTCATCTCAGAATCCAAGGGATTTCAAATAGTGCTGTAAAATGCATACATTTGTCTACTTGATTTATTCCTCTATTAGAGGCCTGAAAGAGCTCATATGATTTCTTTTGGGTTCTCTGGACAGATGTCTGGAGTAGGTCCACAGTACAACATCCATCTTTTAAACCATTGCGGAAATGCACTTATTTTAGTGCTTAGTCGGAATTGTAAAAGCTAACTATGGGTCCTTTGAGGATTTTGAAATAGCAAGACTACATCCCAAGCTTTTATGTAGTCATAATAATTGTAAGGCTTGATTTTTTGGGTTCCTGAAAGATATTTATGTTTCATGGGATCAAAGCCCCATTCTTCATATGTGATGATCTTTAAGATATGAAATTTTGAATGGCCAATAATTTTGCTATTCTTATTATAATGGAAAACTCTTATTGACTCTGTTTCGGTCAATATTTTTTCATAATATTCTCGAGTTTTGTATCCTGTTTCAGGATGCATATTATCTATAAGATAAAGATCAACCACTTGATTAGACTCTTTTAGAGCATGCTTATTTTCAATAACCATTATAGGTATTAACGCCTTTTCAATATAAGGTGTCCTAGGCTTCGTATTTGGGCTTTTAGCCTTTTCATTTACCTCCTTATTGTGCGTATTCTGATAACTACTGCAACATGTATTAACTTCTATTTTCCTTTGAGTATCCCTGCAAAAACTCACGGGTTAAGAAGTCAGGCAGGGAGCTAGATTCTCCCTTTATATATTCTATAGTAAAATCAAATGAAGAAAGAATGGCTTGCCTTCTGGCAAAAATTTGTTTGGATGCTATGTTTTTAACATCTTTTTCTAAAATACCTTTGGCAGCTTTGCAATCTACTCTTATAAAAAATTCTTGGTTTAGAATATTGCTTTCGAATTTTGTAACACATTTGACAATTGAAAGAATTTCTTTTTTAATGGTTGAGTAATTTTGTTGTGCTGGGTTCCAAATTTCAGAGGTATATCTTACTAATTTTTCTTTTTCAGTTGGTTGAAATCTTTGTTTTAAGATTCCACCATAACCAAGTTCAGAGGGTTTCAATAATTTTAAAATCTTTTGGATGAGAAATAACTAAACAAGGTAGCTGTTTAGCTTTTGCCTTTATTTTTTTTACTGCGAGAGTATGCTGCTCCCCCCATTCTGACTGATTTTTTCGAAGTCTTTGAAAAAGGGGTTTGCAGTTAGCCGCCATATTTTTGTAATAATCCGCAATATAATTAAGAGATCCTAAAAACCTTTGTAATTAAGTTTTATCTTTGATTTCATCAGGGAATTTGTCAACAAATTGCAAAACTCTTTCAATAGGAGTTATAGTACCTTGCGAAATATTGTGTCCAAAAAATCGGATATTAGTTTGAAAAAGCTTAATCTTTTTGGCTGAAACTACCAAACCTGCTTGCATAATAATTTTATGGAAAAGATGCAAGTTTTTCCAATGTTGCTTTATAGATTCAGAGAATATAAGTATATCATCGATATAAACAATTGTAAAACTCGTGTATGAATTAAAATTTTCATTCATAATATTTTTAAATTCGAACGGAGCATTTTTTAATCCAAAAGGTATTACGTTCCATTCATAATGTCCAAACGGTACCATGAATGCAGTTTTGTACTTATCTTTTTCGACGATCTGGATTTGCCAGTATCCTGATTTCATATCAAATTTGGAGAAAATCGTAGCTTTGAATAGTCTGTTTAGTAAATCCCGTTTATTAGGGATTGGATACCGAATCCATCTCAATATTTTTTTTATGGTTTATAATTGATTACTAACCTTCGAACTCTTGTTTCTAGCTCTGCCGCTTTTCTAGATAAAAGGCTGGGCAGCTCCAAGGAGAGTATGATTTTCTTAAAAGATTTTTCTCCAATAAATCTTGTATTTCTTTTTTACAGATTTCCAAAAGTATGCTATTCATCTGAATTGGTCTATATTTTGTCAGAATTAGTCTTTCGTCAAAATTTGGTTCGTATGGTAATTCTACCATATGTTGTTTTCTATTCCAAAAAGCATTAGGGATATCAGCACAAACTTATTTTTCAAGCTTACCTTGAAATATTTTAATTTCATTTTGAATATTAGGAGATTTCAATTTTTTCTCTATTGTTTTATAACTTATCTCTTCTTTAAGGGAGAGTAAAAATTTTTCTTTATTTTTTAGTTGATTCTGAACCTGATTTATTCCTTTTACTTTTGGTTTGTCCATAAATTCAAATTTTACTTTATGACCATCAATTTCATATTCTATGCCGGTATGATTCAATAGTTTTATTGGATATAAGAAGTTCAAAAAAGGTGTCCCTACTATAACAGCTTGGGATAACCTTTTTACTATTATAAATGGTAATATAAAGCAGGCTCCATTGTTGCAGACTGTTGCATCTGAAAGTTTATAATTAATCATCAATCTCTTGCCATCAGCAGTATTCAATATTTGTGTAGTTTTGTCAAAATATTTAGAAGGTACAAGACCTTCATTAATACAATTCAAATCAGCGCCTGAGTCGATTAAGGCGATAGTCTGGAAGTTGAACTCTTTGTTTACAACAATTGTAACATAAGTATGCCATTTTTGAGATATAACCTTATCAACTAGATTGACATATGTCAAGGTTTTCAGATTTTATCAGAAATATGATTATTTTCAGGGATGTTAAGGTCTTCAAATTCGTCCACCAATGGGATAACAAGTTCATTTTCTCCTATTTGAGGGGTCTCTAATTGTTCAATTCTTAATTTAAGTTGTTTTATTTCTTGTTGAATATTATTTACTTCATATTTTAATTCTTCTATAGTAGTATATTTGGAAGTTCCTCTAGATTTTTCCTTTTGTTTCATCATACTTATAATATTTTTAAATTCATAAGTAGATTTAGTAGAACCATCTTTTTGTTCAGGAAAATCTTCAAAGGGTTTAAGCATAGAAATATAGGCAAGGAAAACTTCTCTTTTAGCAACAGGATCCTTAATTTTGTCGATAATATCTAGAATAATATTTACTTATATATATATATATATATATATACATACATATTGATCTATATGGATTTAAGAAAAAAATTGATCTATGGTTGGAGAAATTATAGAAAAATCTAAAGAAAAAGAGGAAAATATATATATTGATCTATATGGATTTAGAAAAAAATTGATCTATGGTTGGAGAAATTTTAGAAAAATCTAAAGAAAAAGAGGAAAATATAAAAATAATACATATGACAAGAGAAACAGAAAGAAATATAAAAAATTTTCAAATCATATACATAATTTCTATACATTGATTCCTAATTTTATATATTTTTTTAAGTTTTTAGGTAGCCCAAGTTGGACCCGAGTGCGTGGCTCGGCTAGGAGCCGAGTCCAAGTTGCTCGGCCTAGTATGAGTTTCAAATCATTGCCTAGGATACATGGATTTGTTAATTTATCATGTCTTGTCTGTAACATCACTTCATATAGTTCTTGAAAAACCTTTTTGGGTGACTGGGAAAATAAGTCTCTCTATAGCAACAAACTTTGAAGCATGAGTATTTGATTTGTTTGGTGGTTTATAAATTAGTGGTATGTTTACCATATTCTTTTTTTTTTTTTTTTTTTTTTTTTTTTTTTTTTGTTTTTGTAGGGGGGGGGGAGGTTGTGTGGGAAAGAAAGTGTATGTGGACCTTAGTCTTAGAAACTTTCAGTTAGATGCCAAATACAAAGGTGACAAATTCTCATAAGAAATTTGAAGGGGCTAAGAGTCTAAAATGACTTATTTAACTGAATAAATAAAATTGGCGTCTCTACAGCACTTCATCTTATTTTCTTGCTAGTTTGCTTCCAACCAAATTGTCTTGTGTTCCCATGTATGATTTTACGTTTTATTCATTATTGACTGAGTTAATCTTATCATGACAAACTTCACTGTCTTTATATCTCCATTGTTATTTATGGTTGCAAGCAATGCAACTGTTTGTACTTCTGTAGATTCTTTGTTTTAATGTAATATTTTTTTATTTCTGAAATTGTTTGGAAAGTTGCATGATGATAAAAAAAAGTGTACAAAAGAATGCAATGGTTTCTCCTCATAAGATTATTCCTCTCTCATATTCCTCTCATACATGATGGATCCATTTGTCAGACAGGATTTTAAAACTTGGCTTGGGCTTGGGAGTGGGCCCTGCCCAAGTCGAGTAACTCGGGTGACTCCAAATGGACTCGCTTGAGTAGTGTACAACCATAAAAATGGACTTAAAATTTGGAAAAAAAAATACAAGGAATTTTTTTTTTTTTTTTTTTTAAAGAAGTACAAAGCAAATTAAACTGTAACTACATTGAAAGTCCAAATAAGATGGGAACTGCTTTTTTCAGCATGGAATATTCAAGTGACAGTGGGAGGAATGAGACTTTTACTATCAAAATGAAAGTGATATTTTTGTCAATAATCATTTGGGGTTCGACATAACTCCATGTCATCCTCAATCACAGTTAATATACTTGCTCAAGTTTTTTTTTTTGGATAATTAATATACTTGCTCAAGTTTTCTATATTAATACTTTTTTATTAATTATTGGCATTAATTCTCCTTGGGGAATGGGCTTTGTGTAGTGGTGGGGTCCTAATTACATATGCTTTCTTAGATAAGATAACTATCGTCTCCCTAAAACATGTTGAACAAATTAGCAATATTATTGTTTTTCTGTGCTTCATACTTCGTTTTAGTTAAATGATTTTATTGCAAAGAAATGACAGTCTTCTGATTCCATCAAAGTTATCAAAGGAAAAAGAAAAGAAAGAAAAGAAATGATCTTGCATCTATTTGTTCTAGAACATGCACCAAGGATACCCAATGGAGACGTTGAAACGATTTCTCAGGGCACGAGACGGCAATTTGGCGAATGCAAACAAGATGGTAAGCACCCAGTTGTTGGGAATGGATGTGAATTTATGCCGCTTTCATGAACATAAGTGGCAGCAAACTTTGTTCTTTTCTCCATTTCCTGATGAACATTCCTTGTTGCAGTTAGTTGATTGTTTAAACTGGAGGATACAAAATGAAATCGACAATATTTTTGGTGTAAGTTTTCATTATCGCTGAATCAGTGAAGTGTGTTGTAGGAAGTGTGTGTGAGCTTTTTTTTTTTTTTGGGGGGGGTTGTAGTTCAGTGGGGAAAGTGTCCCCTTCCCGTGGTATTATAGTAAATCTATATTGTTCTATGGTCCTTAAATTTGAAAAAAAATGCTATATTACTTTTGCACCCTTGACTTGATAATCTGCTTAACCTTTATATTTGTCTATTTCTTTTAAATCTTGGTTGTCTTAGTGTCACAAGAGACTCTCTCTCTCGCTCTCACTGTGCGCATGCTGATGTGCATGCTCACATGCTTTTCTTTCTTTAAAATGCTGACTTAGTTAAGTTCACTAATTTTAGTGTTTCCGACTTATAGAACTGAAGGTTTTTTTTTTCCCTTTTGTTTTAATCTTTAACTAAATGTATCAGATATACAAGTTAGACATGCATAAGTTAAAATGTTTGTACAAGTTAGACATGAACTTTATCGTAGAATTCATCCTCTTTTTTACAACTTTGTATGTGGTTGTATAGGGGCCCAAATTATCAAGGGACACATACAGAATGGTGCGTGATTCACAACTCATAGGATTATCAGGATACTCCAAAAAGGTACTTCTTTGAACTAGATAGAAAAATTGCAAACTTAGACAATATATGTAATTGGGATACTTTTGACTTTTATGCTCATAGAACTATGACGGCATCTATTAGCTGTAAATGTCTCCTTCCATTGGGGCTTTGTTTCTTAAGGTGTTTCTGATCCATTATGTGTGTTCAATTCCATGTTCATCTCTTGAAATCATTGTGATTTCTCCCTCTGGTATAGCTTTCTGTTTTTGAAAAAATTACAACTACTGAGTAACTCCATCTAGGAGCTTCATCTTATTAAACATATTCTGAGAGATATGGAAACCCAAATTAAAGGTGATGATGTGTGTTGCAGAACAAGTGCCTTCTCACTTCTGATATATTCAGTCACTCCATTTTATGGATTCTGAGAGCTTAGATTAATACGAATTTTCACTATATCAAATATATTTTAAATCTAAAAGGAACAAAATTTAAAGCCATGACTTTGTATGCTATTTGGATTGTTCTGTCCATTTTGGAGGGAGCAAAGACATGTTTGGTAACTGCTAAATTATGGCTCCTTTTTGCATTGCTTGATACTCAGTATGATCAAATTATAAAACAATGTTGGTTATAAGCTATCCATGTTAGGCAGCATTGTCATTCTTTGTCTTTTGTCCTTAATTTACCGCAGTGAGAAGCATTTTGACAACTGCATAATTTCATCATGCAGGGGCTTCCAGTATTTGCTATTGGTGTTGGACAAAGCACAATGGACAAGGCATTTGTAAGGATGTGACCACTTGTCTTGTTATTTTACATTGCATGTCATGTTTTATTTGGTGCATATTTTAATAAAGGAATCAAGGGAAAAGGAGTTATTTCTATTTTGGTTGAATTGTTTCAATATTCCAACAAAATGTGATTTTGGCATAGATATAGTTAAGAAAATATGTTCACCAAATAAAAAAAGAGTAGTGAGGTAATACTTTTATCACTGATTTAATGATAAGACGATTTGCTCTTTGGTTGATCATAATAATTTAATAACAACAACAACAATGATGATGATAATGATGATGATGATGATGATGATGATTATTATTATTATTATTATTATTATTAATTTTATTATTATTAATTTTATTATTATTAATAATATGATGATGATGATGATGATGATGATTGGCGAAGGGAACATGTTGCTAAGCATGGGAATCATCCTAGGGATGGAGACAGCTCCGTACAACTAGGCTATGGTGAATACCTATTCATCAAAGAGATATTTGTCTCCTTGTCATTTATTTGATTGGAATTAATTATTTCGAAAAACTATTACAGAGTATGGAAGCTAAAAGGTCATATATTTGCATAAAATATGATAAGATTGCAACCATCTCTATACACCCATATCAGCCTATCTATCAGTCTTGGTTTGCTTAAAATGCACAAAACACCAGTGGCTGACTACTCAAAAACAAATCAGTGATCTGTACAAGTATGCTAGCAACTGGCCCCAGTATAATACATTGAACTTACATGTAACAGATTCCCTGGCATATGTGTTTAGCTTCCGCAAAAATACGCTCTAAAACCAATAATGGTCGATATTTTCCCATGTTGAATCAATTGATCACAATATTTTTGAAACATTAATCTCTCTCAACTTGTTGTGGTTGACATTTTATCCTTTTGGAACTATTCCAACTTGATATCATGTATCTTTTGATGGGTATTTTGAAATTAAATCCAAATATATTGTTAGAATATTAAGTAGTTGATCTCTCATGGGTAATTAGATAAATTTCCCAAACATAAATAACAAAGAAACATTTTGGAGTTCATCACTTAGAGAAGCACAAATCTTGTATACATGCAACCATACGTTTGATTATGAAATATAGCTAAAATACAGAAAAAGAAAAAGACAAGACTTTCAAATTGTCCCACTTCTCCTTCTAAACTATTTGAAATAGTCTCCCTTCTCCTTGGAGGGTTATCCCACTTCTCCTTCTAAACTATTTCAAATAGTCTCCCTTCTCCTTGGAGGGATACATAAACATCAAACTTGCATGTAACAAGATGATATCATTGTAACATGGCCATCTTGGTGTCCACTTTTGTATGCCGATTTCTTTTTTCTCAATACACTATAACAGGGAATCTATACATAAACAGTCTATTATGTCTTTGTTTCTGAGCTGTTCCTTTTATGTACTTATGCTATGAGTTTTAATGGTTTGGAAGTTTTTGGGCTTCAAGAATTACCATGAATGAGTTTAAAGAAATCATGCCCATAAATTAGAATCTGTAAGTTGCATCTGCAGGTTCACCACTATATTCAGTCCCACATCCAGATCAATGAATATCGGGATCATGTACTTCTGGTTAGTTTCCTGGTCCTATTTTTGAAATGTTTTATTTGTTATTTGTAAATCCATTGGATTATCATTTACAAGATTTTTGCTTATATTGTAGCCTAAAGCGACAGAGAGACATGGGCGATATATTGGCTCTTGCTTGAAGGTTTTGGATATGAGTGGCCTGAAAGTTTCAGCCTTGAGCCAGATAAAGGTTTGTTATGATATCTTCAGATTTTATCCAAAAATATCAGGTTGTCAAACAAATACATGCTATGTATACTTGTAAACAATATGGATCTTTTGGCTTTCTTCTCATCCTTAGTATTTTTCAACTTGGGAAACTGCATTTACCCACATTAAAAAAAAGGGACAGGAAAAGGAAAAAAGGTTCCCACATATACGTCTTTCATTATTTGTTTTGCTAGTCATTCTAGCTATAATGCTTCCCACCAAGGAGTAGCATGTTCTTTTAGATGACGTGCATTTGTTATTTGGGCATATATCCTCACAGGTTAGAAATAGGTCAACCCATGGACCCGAAGGTTTGCCCTGACCAGGTCCGTCTGGATTCAGATAATGGACCCGATGCTCAAGTCTAGGACCATTTGACCTTGACCCAACCCAGGTATGGACCTGGTCCACGTCTAACTTGGACACTGTTAGATCGGGTCAGGTCTGGTTCTAGGGGAACGTGACCCAACCCAAGCCAGTTTATGTAAGTATGAGTTATTACAAAATGTACTTTATCTCCTAAATATATATTATAAAATGCATAAAATAAATCTTTATATTTTTCTATCTAAACTCGGCCCCAAAGCTACCCAACCCAGTGGATCGCGTCCGGGTCTGGGTCCAATTGACTTGGACCCGACCAAGCACCGGTCTAACTTAAAGTTGGGTTTGGTCCAGGTTAGGGTCAACCCAGGCCCAACCGGCCCATTTACACCCCCATTTATCCTCATAATTCATATAGTGTGTGTTCCACCTTTGTACTGCTTAATCATGGTCTGCCCTTCTATGACCATGCGGTACCTTCTTTCTTTATTTCCTCAGAAAAGCATCTTAATGCTCATTTACGCAATATAATCATTTTAATGCTTAACCACCGTCATTGTGGCATGGTAGGAAGCTCTACCATGAGACTTTAAGCCATGGTTAGATTTGATAAACCCATTCTAGCTAACCCTTGGGATTTTCTTTCACTCCTCTGAAGGAAAATCTCCTGGTTCTCCTTCCTTTAACCACTTCTAGTCATGGAGTGTTGATCCCCTTAAGCATCCCGATATCTCACTTACAGCTTTTTATTCTTTTTCCCCATTTGTTGTTGCATGTGCTAGTGGATGTTTTGCTGTTCTTTTACCTGAGGTAGCATATTCCCTTCTTCTTTTTTTCTGCATTTGTTTCTTATTGGCTATTTCTGGTTCATACCTTTACTGCTGAATTGCTCATTCTGCTCTTAAAATTAACATCTGCTGTTATCTAGTTTGAAAACCCTCTTACTGTTTTAAATTTAATCAACTGCAGGTATTGACTACGATGGCCACCATTGATGACCTCAACTATCCGGAGAAGACTGAAACTTACTTTGTCGTGAATGCACCATATGTTTTCTCTTCCTGCTGGAAGGTGAGTTAACAAGGCGTGCTTTTTACATTTCTCTACCGATTTATTTCAAAGTCAAGATACATTGTATTAGAAAGTCAGAAACATCAGTACGTTGATGGATTTATCAAAAATTGCCGCCACACCCATGGTAAAGCAAAATCACATCTGATTATCTGATGATATTAGTGAAATGAATCTCGTTATTCTGAACTGACCTAATGGACATGACAAAATATCACATCTTTAGATGTATGCATATGGACTAATACATAAATCTAGATTATTTAGAAACCCAACTAGCCCTTAGGCAGTTTGCTTATGGCGACAACCTACATCACAGGTTGTGAGGCCCCTCTTACACGAAAGGACGAAGAGAAAGATACAAATTCTGCAAGGAAGTGGCACAGACGAGCTATTAAAGGTTAGTTTTCTACATTAAAGATTTGAGGGCCTATCCTATGCATGTTTATATGCTCATAAAAAAGAAAACGTTTATAGTACTAAGGTGGTTGGCATCTATCCAGGTCATGGACTATTCAGCCCTTCCCCATTTCTGCAAGAGAAAGGGCTCAGGGTTATCGAATAATGGATCAGAGAATTGCTACTCTTTGGACCATGAATTTCATCGCGAACTTTATGAATACATAAAGAAGCAGGCTTCCTTTATAAGGTGCAGCACAACAGTAAAGCAAGTGACTTCGGAAGGAGTCATTACAGAGCTTCACAAATTGGTTGACCTGACCAAGATAAGCTCAGCTGCCATATAGATGGCTATGTGTTAGTGATAGGTAAAAGAGTGTATGAAATGTATGTATTACAGTTAATTTTAGGTCGGGACGTAGCTTAATAGGCACCAGTGCATCAAATTCCACGAGATTTCCGACACCAAGCTTGCATTGTTTAAGAGGGGGTTCCTAGTAAAGGATGTGAGGTTCACAGAAAATAAATGGGCCTCTAATCCTTGACTGAGGGAATAACCAAATAACTGATGTATTGACAAAGTTAAATACCAAATGAAGAGGTATGGTGGCTTTAGTATTTTTCAAATCCGGTAGTGGGGGAAAAACCGATTTACTGATTTATTGAAAAAGTTAATGCTCGGTGGGTTTAGTGAATTGGATTTGAATGTTCTGAAACTGGTGGCAGTCGTGCCTTCTGATACTTGAGATCTTGTATGTGCCATATTTATGCCTTGCACGCTGTTAACTTGTGTGGGCATATTATTTGCATATGGAATGGCGTTTAAGGGTCCGAATTGAATGGCTTGAGAGTCTGAACATAAAAGGCAAGTTATGCAAAATCTCAACAATCTGGCTGATGCTGGAAATCTTAAATTGTAATTGGGTGGATGATTCAGATATTATGCTGGTTATTTGCAAGCCGAGAGAGAGATCCCTCTCATATCATCCACCAGGGCTTTGGTTGAATTAATGTTTGAAAACAATTGGCGACTCAAGAGTGATAGAAATCTCTCTCTATTTCTTCCTCTGATCACTGTAGTATTATGGAACTCGGCTCTCTTTCTTTTACTGTAGTATTTATGGGGCTCAGCTCTCTTATATAGTGAAAGTAATAATTAACATTAAAATAAAAAATAAAAAATTTGAGAACCCTAGCTTCCCAATGATAGTTGTTTTTCCCTGACAAATATTGGATATTAAATAAAGAAAAAGACCCCGGTTTCTATGTGGCCAAGCCTGCATATGTAGAAATACGATCCTCATAATAAATCTATTTTTGAGATTGATTGTAAGACTTTATTTTTAGAGACATGTAATCTCTAACCTGGAGATCATGAATATGAAAAAATAAATAAATTTTAAAAACTTAAAATAATATTTTACATTTGGACCGGTGGTTTCCATTATTTTTAAATGAAATACCATTTTTAAGATGGATGCGTTACACTTTTTAGACTGCACATGTAGAAATGTAGACCGGCCCGCATGAAACAATTTTCCTAAAGAAAAAGTTCATTTCTCAATGATACTTGTGTTTCACCAACATATTGGATGCCAATTAAAGAAAAAGTTTGTGTAGGATGCCAACAGTACACTATAGGGCTGAAAACCTAGGGGCCTAACCTTATCTTAGTGGCTTCTTTTGTACATAAAAGTGCATTTTTCAGAAATTTTGCTCTTTAGTATATTTTACTTTTTCTATCCAAGTCAAGTGAAACGCATCCTTTGAAAAGTAAAACCAAATTATTTTTATAGGATATCTTAAAATTTCGTACTCCTTTTACATATAAAGTTGAGGAAAAGCATGAGCTATTAAATTCATTTCAGGTTTGTTACAAGAATGTTATAATCACCTTTAGCCATTAGATTTAAAATACCCTTAATCTTTAGATTTAAAATACAATGGTTAGAGGTGTACCATTCGACACCACCACTGAAAAGCCCAAAATTTTTCTTAAATTTAACTTAAAATTTGTGACACACCCTTAGCCACCTTATTTGCCAAGAGTGATTGTGGCCTTATTTACTAAGATGGATTGTGTTCTTGATTATTTGCTAGGCATGATTGTGACCATGAAACAAAGGCAAACAACCTTATGCCATACAATCTCCACACAATAAATTTTCAGATGGTTGATAAGAGTTGCCAAGGACAAACCAGGAACTCTCTCTCTCTCTCTCTCTCTCTCATATGATCATATAACAATACTTTTATTATGGGAGAATAACATTTTTACATTAAGTTTGGACTTCAGACTAAACCAAGTCTGAGGGACAATCAACCTGCTCATACTAGCAAAAGAAAAATCCCTTTAAAACTCAAGACCTAACCTACAAAGAATACTGATATATTGCCCATACAAAAAAAAAACATCATTCATTTTTCTTACACTCAACTTGCTCATACAAAGGGTTTTTCCATTCCAAAATGCATAAAAACCTCTTTTAACATGGCACTGCTTCAGTGTGACCTCTTGTAGATGCAATAAGCAACAGTAACAGAAGCTACAGCCCCAATGACTGCAAGGGCAGCAAATGTATCCTCTCTTTCCCATGTATCAAGCCAAGGAAAAAGGTCTATTTTGCCTCTGGTGCTCTTATTCTTAATGGAGCTCCTTGCCGCCTTCTTGTCGCTCCCAAGGGCGGTAAGAACCTCCTGTGGCTTCCCATCTTGGCAGCAAGAAGTCTTGCCAATTTCTCCACAACAACTCACGCCATTGATTTGAGGAGGCCTTTCATTGCATTCTTTCTCAGTCTTCTCCGGGAAGATACCATTAGCATAAGCTTTGTTGCCAATCAATTGTAGCCTCTGGTCCCGGGCTCTCTTTTGCTCCTCTTTCGATAAACCCATCTGACCCCTGCATATAAGAAACTTGGCCTTGTTAATTTTGTCTCAGTTTCTAAATATATGGTCTCTTCTTTCTTTGTTTTCTGTTTTTTGTCAGGGAGGGGGTGGATGTGCAGGGTTTCATAATTGTAGTAAATATGGGTTGGAACCCAGGCTTAGAACTCCACATTGATAGGTGCAGTCCAGATTATGAGGATAAAAAAAATAAAAAAACAGTATATGTAAACCTGAAGAGGAAAAAAAGGAAAAAATAGAAAAACATAAGAGGAAATGTACACCAAAACCTGACTGCCCATTTGCCATTATTTTATCTTGCGAAACATTTTCAGCATGGGGATGCATAATGCTGATACATATAATACCTGCTTTCCCAAATTGAAAATATCGATGTTGCATGTTTTTTGGAGTGATGGATTTTCTGAAAATTTGATTTTCAGTAAGTAAGAACTAAAGGAGATGCTAAAGGTACTTTACAAGATTAATGCAATAGAGGTGGGATATGGGCCAGTAAAGGTAGAATGTGTGGTTTTCTAAGAAAAGACATTATAATGTATTATCCAGGAGAGGGTTTTTTTTTTGTTCTTCTTCTTGTAGTGGTTATATCAGAAACTAAATCTCGAAAGAAAATTGTTTCATACGGGCTGGACCGCATTTCTACAATATGCGGTCCGGAGGTATAAAGCATCCATCTTAAAGATGGATGCAAATAGGTGGTCCATCTAAAAACAAGTGTAACTAACGGTCCAAATGTTTTTTTAATATAATTATTATTTCTAGTTTTCAAATTTTTTTTTTTTTTTCCATATTCATGATCTCCATGTTAAAGATTATATATCTCTAAAAATAAGGATTAAATTATATTTAAAAAAAATATTTATTGCCAAGCCCGCTTTTCTACAATATGCAGGCTGGCCGCATAGAAACCGTGTCCAATCTAGAATGCACAACTTGGCCATTCAGCCATATTTCTTGCGTTTGCTCTCAAGATTCAGACCCCATTACACTTGTTTCAGCAATCAAGGTAAATTAGTAAAACGAAAAATATACAGACACCAATAGTGTTGAATGATCTATGCAAGCAACAAAAACAGAACCTGAAGAATTGATATTAGGAGCAAATAAAGAATGTGTAAGAAGGGTAGCAATGCCTGCGAACCTCCATAGGCGATCCACAACTTCTCCCTTCCCCATGTGTTGGTCAAGCAGAACAGAGACATCGGCTGGAGTAACATAGCCATACCTGAATGAGAAACAGGCAAACATTTATTTCTAGCACCAATAATTCCAAAAAAAATAAAAATTGATGTTTCCTATCATTCAAACTGAAGAAGCATCAGGAATTGAAAAGCTCAAGCACAGAAATGCCACTCAAATAAATTAGAGGTTGCAAGTGACAACAATATTAGTAAAATTACAAAAATACACTTATATACAAACACCCAGTCTGTGGGTGGCTCACTCTTTTTGTACATTTTCCTTATATATATATACATAAACATATGGGTTATGTTAGGGTGCTCACGCTATAAAATAATTTATCATTGTACTCAATAAATTTCGACACTTAGATAACCTTATTTTGTACATGGAGTTGCTTTTTAGTAAGGGTATTTTTTATCATTAGAAGGGATGTAACGTCACCTACATGTGGTGTGACATCACAGTATTAAATGCTACTCGTGCACTCTACGTGGGTGATGTCACACCCTTCCTAATGACCAAAAATATACTTATTAAAAAAATGCTCTATGTACAAAACAATGGTATAGAAATGTTCAAAATTTGTTGGGTACAATGATATATATATATATATATATATATATATATATAT